TTTTACCATTGAGGTTGGCATATTTTGAAGAAATGTTTAATGTACACAGGAGCATAATGGAAGCATTCCAAAAGTGATAAGCTATAATTGGTCTACAATACTTATTTAGAAAAAAAGATTGCAGTTTCATGAAGAGATATCTCAGGCCGAGATGAGAAAAAGATAGAGATGGCAAAAATTTACCCGAACTTGAGCCATTTGCTAACCTATCGACATTCTTTAAGGGTATCTTTGAGTTTCTACTTTATTGCACATGCATTTTGTTTAGCTTCTATCTTATTTCTTATTTGGCGTTTTTGTCATTATTTTTTGAATTGTTGTTGTTATGTTCTCACTTATGCCTACTTTAATTAGTTAACTGAGTATACTTTGGTATAACACGGAGTTTGAAGTTTAGATAGTGCTTGCATTTTTAGAGGAAAATAAGATTGAAGTCTTCTCGATGCGTCATTGTATATTTTTAATACTTAGATATCCGTTTAATTTCTTCTTCTCTAATTATTTCTTTCCTTTACCTGTTTCTGTAGAACTATGCCTCAATTTTGTACCTAAGGATTCCACACGGATCGTGTCTCCATGTGCAACCCGTGTCTCCATTGCGCACGGAGACACGGTCCATTGTTTCCGTGCAACAGAGACACGGGATCCATGTCTTCGTTGCGCATGGAGACAACATGATCCCGTGTGGCATGGAGATGGTGTCTCCGTGCCACACGGAGAGAAGAATGTAGGGAAGACCAGTAAGAGTGCCTCCAAAGCTGGGAAATCAAAAGAACCTGAGAATGAGAAGCCGCAGATGTTCTGGGCTCCTGCACCGCTGACAGCCAAGTCATGGGCTGATGTGGATGATGATGATTACTATGCCACCATTGCCCCTCCCCAGTCTCCTTGGGGGGAGGGGGGGGAGGGTTCGAACAAACCTGAAGAGACTCATAAACCAGACGCCTTGGAGGTATAAGAATAAATTTAACATAATATTGTGTTGTTGTTTTCTATAACTGTAATATAAATAGTGTATTGTTCTGTTAAAATTTAATGGGTTATTTGTTTTGCTTGTTAATATGAATATATCCATGAAATTTTTGTGTTGATTTTGCTGTTTATATGACTGTCTCCCTTGGACCCTTAGTTTTTTCTTTCTATTATCGAAGAATGCAATTTAGTTACTACTGGTCATAATTAGTTAATTATTCAGCCACTTTTATGATTTCGTAAAGTTTGTTTTGTCGTCTTGTTTTGCCTCATAAAATGTTGCTATCGAACAAATTTTAGATATTTAATGATAAAACCACGTCGCATGATTTATGTCTTTTGACTTCAGGTTGTTGTGGATATGAGGATATCTTTTAAGTATCTTTTGTACCTTTTCGCAAAATTTTCGAATGACTTGTGTGCAATGGTATTTTTTAAAATTTTTTTTCTCTTTCCTAAAATGGGGAATGACGCCAATGTTTTATGAAGAAAAGAGAATGGCTCTCTTCTCCTTTTTTGCTTCTTTTCGTAGACGACAATCTTCCCAATCTTTACCTTGTTCTTAATAGATGGACTATGAGAAGAACCTCAGATATTTGATGCGTGCTTCTCTTGCTGTATTTCCCTATAATAGTAGCAGTTACTTGCAAATATACTATAATGGTGATGAATGGTTTTCAGTGGTGATTTCTGGACTGTAGACCTTTACTTTTGTCGTAGTGTTAGCTGGACTTTTTTTTTTGCTTCTTCCTTTGAAATACTGAAGCTCTTTGCTTTATTGTTTGGTGCATTTATTCCTTTAGTTACTGTCAGTNTCTTACGGATGGATTGTCCATCCAAGTTTCAGAGAGTGAAAGTGAGGAAGAACTTAATGAAGGTTAAAAATACATTTGTGATGCAATAATATCAAATCTTCATATGAAGAATAGAAAAGATACAAAGAATATAGACGACAAATGACGAGTTTATTCGAATTAACTCATGAATATTTTACGAATGAATTTCTCTTAAATTTACATATATTTATTTTCAACATTAAACAACTAACATGCAACTAACGTGCAACGCACGTTAACCACACTAGTAATTGTACAAGTCTCTACTTTCGATTTCAAGTTGTTACAAAGTGGTAATATGATTATTAATAATAAAGTATTGATATTTACAAATTGTACTTACAAGCATGTTAATTACAAAATTATATTAAGTTCCTATTTGATAAAAATTATAGTCTAGATTTTTTATTATTCAAGTTGTTACAAAGTGGTAATATGATCATTAATAATAAAGTATTGATATTTACAAATTGTACTTACAAGCATGTTAATTACAAAATTATATTAAGTTCCTATTTGATAAAAATTATAATCTAGATTTTTTATTAAAATCAAGTCAATAATTAATTTTAATAACATATTTCATGAAACCCACAACTTTTTAATCACACATTTCATTCATTTTTATTAAAATTTATTAAAAATCTAATTTTAATCTCCATCAAATGTGAGCTAAATAACAATAAAATTTTAACTTTTTCCTTCTTTATACTATCCTCCACATTTTTATCCTTGCTAGTATCAACTGTTATGTTTTAGATAATCACACGACTGCTTTGTAAAATTACCATGTTTTTTCTCTGGTCATTTATTTTGTTAGGAGACTTTCTTATATGAAAAATCCTTCTTGTACCTAACTACTTATATAATATTTTACAGAATAATAAGGTGTTAAAATATTAATAGGTAAGTTCTATAATTTATGAGATTTTGATCAAGTTAAATTTCGCCACATCATTTATTGACAAACCAGTATATAAGTTGTTATATACATGTAGCACAACCGTTCTTATATACATGATATTCGTTGGGGTGAAGAGATTACAATCATCTGTCATCAAGGTTTGCCACGGCCAGCCTCAAGGTCTTGCGCGTCGAAAATTATACACTTCTTCTACAAGGGCGAATTAGAATTTTTTATGAATTGAAAACTGCATTAATATTTCTGCCAGCCTTGTACAGTTACATTATAACAAAAAAATTACTGCCCCATGCAAAATCAGAAATCTGGAGTTTTATACAAATACCAGAAACTCAAGAAACCGCAGCACCGCAAATGCAAAATTTATCATGAAGAACTGCCAAAAACCTGTGATGAAAATATAGCAAAGATTGCATTAGTGGGTCTGAGGAATGTGCAGTCAAAACAGTAGGTAAAAGTTGCAAGTCCTATCAAATGTGTTGATAGAGTTTATCCAAATTGTAAGCAATTATAGTTTTTGAAAAACATGGGATTAACATGATCACAAGCAGAGGCCAGACAGAACAATACTTACTCCAGCTAGGATATCACTAGATAGTTGGGACTTCTTTTCAGTTTCCTCTGCAACAGGTTTTTTCTGGGGAAATTGGCGCATCACCTTCTTGACTTGTTCACCCTTTTGCCTCTGCAGCCAAATAAACAAAGTAGGTCAGTAATATGGAACACTTAGCTTTAACATTTCGAGAATCCAATATCAGATAACCAAGAAGAAAGACTATTTTCAGTTGACAATAATGACAATCAGGAGTAGTCTTCTTTCATCAAAAGAACTTGACAAGTACGATTATAATGACGGAAATCATTTTATGCAGAAAACATGTCAAGACAAGAAATGCACACAATTAGTGAAGTCACCTTTTTTAGTCGTTCTTCTATATTACTTAAGGCTACTGACTGATCAACTTTTGAGAGATAGAAATCTCGCTCTCTCTTGGCAGCAGAAATTTCCAAAGCTAGTTTCTGCTCCCGAATGGCACTTTTGTATGCTGCAAACATTTGAGAGTCTCAGCCCAATTCATAACTTGAATGCTTACCATAAAATACAACATCAAACACTAAAAAAGAGTTCTGTACCTATTTCTTCAGTAAGATCATCCCACTTGAATTTACTCAAGTATTTGATATTCCAAATATCATAATGGAATCTTGACCGTTTCTTGCCACCTGAAACCAAATATGAAAGTGAAAACTACATTATGTAATATTCTTGCTAAAATATGAAATCTTGGACTAAATTTTCTAAAATCAATCAGGACCAATATAGCCCCTGTTTGGCCCCCATTTTCTAAAACTCATTCTTCTTCAAACTCATTTTCAATTGCACATTTCATGAGACCCACTACTTTTATCAACTTTTCAACCACAGTTTTCATCAACTTCTATCAAAATCTACTAAAAACCTAATTTTTAGCAAAACCAAACAGGAACATAGGGCGTGTGTTCGGTAGAGATTAAATTGGATTAAAATTGAAAAACTAACCGTTATTGTTGACTTTCATTAGACAAGTGAGACCCAATAACGGTCATATTTTCAATTAAAATTGGATTTTAATCCTGGGCAAACATGATCATAGTGTTTAAGACAAATGATATTACTAAATTAGTCTCCTAAATGAAATCACAATGCTTAAGGAGCCTCAAAGTAATGTTCTGATCAGCAAAATATGACTTGTGTTTTTTCCATGTGAAATAGCCTTGTGCTACACAACCCCAACTATATTTGTACATGTATGGCCCCTCTTTGGTAGAGATTAGAATCAGATTTTTAATGTGTGGTTGAAAAGATGTGGGTCCCATAAAATGTGTGATTAAAATTAATTGTCGATTTTGACTTGAGATTTTAATTGGATTTTAATCCAAACCAAACAGGGGTATAATGTATCATAGGTTGCTTCAAAGCTGATTTCGATTGGTGCACATTCAGGTCTGAATGAATACTAAATTCCCCAAAAGACATAACAATGAGAAGTACAGAATACAAAACATATGCCAGTAAGCAGATGAAAAATGTTCAGGAAAAAAACTCCATTTAACATACCTATCTGTTCCCCATTTAACATCTCAGCAACCCTCTTGGCAACACTCTTCTTGGTGAACTCAACCCACCTGCACGGAGGCAATCAAAGTTAATCATCGATCATAAATGCAAAACACAAAAAATTAAATTTGAAAGCAAACTAAAAACTAATGTAGTGTCAACTTCTAGAAGGAAGTGATAAAAAAGGTCATCAAAAGCATGTCAGTAACACGAGGACATGTGTTACCTATAACACAATGTCCCACATTAAAATAATTCTTCTAAGATACAAGTATAAACAAGACCCCGATCCCATAAAGACTAAAAGAAAGACATGCATTCATCCACGAAAATCCATTTGATTTACATGAAAAAATTACAAAAATAATTTGGGGCATATAAACATACCCTTCTGAGAATTCTTGGCCACGAAATCCACCAGCCTTTTTACGATGAACTTGTGCAGCAGGATCTGCATTAAAAAATTGCACGTAGGCAACAGGATTATGTAAATTAGAACATTAGAAAAATTCCAATTGGTAAAAGATTACCAAGCTTGACAGCATTCCATCTAATGCCATAATCAATACTAAGTCAACTAAATCAGTCGAGTCCAAAAAATCTCTTCTATGCTAAGCAACATCAACAAATATCACTGACAATGTTATGGTAATTGACCTTCAGGGGTGAGATAAATTCTTTGAATTTCACCATACTGGGAAAGAATCTGACGTAGCTTCAAAGGATCCATGTGAGGAGGTACCCGACTTAAATAGCAAACACCACGCTTGTTCGCCTTTTCGGTTTCCTTCAGTAACCGCTTCTTTCTTTTATCCTTCTGCTCTTCCTTCTTTATTACTTCATTAGAGGTTGGATCTTCTTCACCTCCGGAACTTGTTCTTTCAACCACTTCTTCCTCAGTCATTTCAACTGATATGAACCTGATACATCAACTTGATTTTTAGCATGCCAATATATTGTAAAAGTTCACACTATAAAAAATGTAAAATAGAGAGAAATCACAGAAACTGAGAATAAATTTGCTAAATAATTTCTGTGTAATGAATGACTTTAGCTTCTTTACTCAATCAAGTTTAACTGAAACCAATTTTTCCGACATAAAATTTTCTATATTAGTTCCAGGTTTCAAATATCAAATTCTTCCTATTTTTTATTGCATTCTATGAAATACAAGTCCAACAAAGCCCAATAACTTTATGGGAAAATATACAACTAAAACAGACTTTGTATCAGACAGTGAAAAAAGGCTTTCATCTGTTTCCTTCCTCATTCAAGAAATAAGCAAAAAACCCAACATATTTACACGATAAATAAAATTGACCAGTGCTAATAAATATTTTTCTAGGATTTTACTCTATCAGTAAAGCCCCTGTTTGTGGTCAGCCTCGGCAGTTTGTGGTCGAGAGACATAGTCAGCGCCGCCCTGTCTAAAAAGGAGGCACATCCATATTTGGTGGTTCGTAGAGGCGGTCAGGGGCGGAGCCACCTGGGGTCTACTGGAGGCAATTTCACTTATTACGCTTGAGAGGCGGGGGCGGCCAGTTCTTTAAAGCAAGGAGAACACCATAAACAATCACATCAAAAATTTAACATAAAGGTCGTAAATTAAATAATCACTGTTGCCCGAGGAAGATTACCATCAAGAAACAACAATTTTGAATAAATAAATAAATTATAGGGGTTGAGTTGATATTAAATCATTCACGCAATCAGATTGAGTGCGATTTCAACATAAAAAGCCAGTTTTACACTAACAAAAATCCGATA